TGAGACTGGGGGTGGTAGGCTGAGCTGGTGATGTGGGTAACGCCTAGCTTGGCTAGTGCTTCCTGAAAATGGTGACTGGTGAAGTTGCTGCCTTGATCTGTTTGAACAATTCTAGGTAATCCAAAGGTAGTGATGAACCGGGTCATGGCTCTGACTACAGTCTTTGCCTTAATGTTCCGTAAGGGGAACGCCTCGGGAAAACGGGTACTTGAACACATAAAGGTAAGTAGGTACTCGTTGCCCGCCTTGGTTTTAGGCAAGGGACCTACACAGTCCATGACAATTTTAGAAAAGGGTTCTTCTAATACAGGAATCGGACTCAAAGGGGCCTTAGGAATTTTCTGGTTTGGTTTTCCGGCCAACTGACAGTTCGTGCAACTTCTGCAGTAAAGCGACACATCATTTCTCATTTTGGGCCAAAAGAACAGTTCTTTGATCTTCGCCGTCGTTTTAGTGACTCCTGGGTGCGCTGACATTGGATGGTCATGTGCCAGTTTAAGTATTTCATGCCGATAAGGTGGAGGGACCCACAGCTGGTTTTTACCCAACCATGGTTCGGCTGGTGAGGCATCCACTGGTACAGAGCGACGAAAGAAGAGGCCGTTCTCGGAGAAATATTCTCCATCGTCAGATGATAGAGATTTTTCGACCATTGCCTTGAGTTCCGCGTCGACTTGTTGAGCTTTAATGATGTCTTCCTGAGATATTCTCAGGGGTAAGCCCAGGCTTGTGTTCTCTGGAAGCATAGACTCCAGTTTGGGAGTCGAATTTCTTGACGATGATGGTAGGTGTGGTTCAGACGTTGTGTCAGCCAATTGTTTGGTCTGGCTTCTTGTCACCACACATGCAGGATACAGTTCATTATCATTATCTGGAACTGTTGACAAAGGGTTTGGAACCGTACAGGGGTATACTTTGCTTCCCGCAAGGTCATTCCCTAGAAGTAGGTGTACTCCTGGGACAGGAATACTATCTATCACACCTAAAATGACTTCACCTTCGACGAGATGATGTTTCAGGGCAAACTTGTGTAGAGGGACGACAGTAGATTTTGTCCCCACTCCCTGGATAATGGAAATCCTTCCGGTGTTCGTTTCTGGTGTAATGTCCATTGAACTTTTCAAAAGAAGTGACTGTGACGCTCCTGTGTCTCTTAGGACGGTGATATTCCGCTGAGACAACGGATCACCTGGTTTGCTAATGATAGCTTCGGCAATGAAAGATGAAAAGTCAACTTTTCTCGATCCCTCGAGATCGGTAGACTCGGAAGAAACTGGATGGTGGCGTGAACAGTCAAAATGTGACTGCACATAATGTGTGGAGACTTGACTACCTTCTTGCGGACACTTAGGGTTAGAGTCCTTTAGAATTCTAGAGTTCATAGTTGAACTGGCTGCTTGAGGGGATAGAGCATAGTGCGCAGAAGTACGCACCACCTCTCTGTTATATTGACGACGTTTGTAACAGTCCTTGACAAGATGACCAGGTCTTTTGCAGAACTGGCATACTGCTCGACGATTGAGAGTTGCTCTTGGTTTCTCTCTGGACTGTGATGCCTTCACGTGTTGGCCAACAGGAGGATTGCTGCCAAAAAGGGGAAGCACGGGGTTGAGGCGGTTTCCTGACACTGGTGGTTTCTTATGCACCAACATATATGTGTCAGCCGACTCAGCAGCCTTCTGGATGTCAATTATCTTGTTATCCAGTATGTGTAGTCGTATCTCTTCAGGCAGGGACGTTAGGAATTCTTCCCTTAGGATAAGTGACCTGAGTTTCTCAAACTCAGAAACTTCCTCAGAGTGTAGCCACCGTGAGAATATTTTCTCCTTTTCAAAGAGAAATTCCACATATGATTGAGTGGGTAACTTGCGGAGTGCTCGGAATTTCATCCGATAGGCCTCGGGCGTCAGTTCGTAGGCCTTCAAAATGGCAGTCTTGACCAAACTATAGTTATTTTGAACGTCGTGAGAGAGTGCCTGGTATGTTTTTGCAGCTTTCCCAGTAAGGACCGAGCTCAATAAAGCAGTAATGGAAGTTTCGGGCCATTCACATGTCTTCGCTAAACTCTCAAATGAGTTAAAGAAAACGACCAAATCTGTTTCATCAAATTTAGGAACTAATTTCCCAAATTTGGCAATCACTTGCCCCACCGACAACTTTTTTGGATCTACCAGAGAAGTAACATCACTAACTTGACCAAACTCTAATTCCAACCTCCTCTTATCTAAAGCAATTTTAGCCTCTAATTCCTTTTCTTTTAAAGCCTTCTCTAAAGCAGTTCTAGCTTCTAATTCTACCTTCTCTAGAGGTTTCTCCTCGCGGAGTAACACACCAGCCAACAAACTTTCATCAAATACCCCTTCATTAATAAAATGAACAACAATTTTATCTCTCAACACCTCTGACTTCTGCGTAACAGAATAATCCAATTTCAATTCCTTAACAACACTAATCAAAACTTTTCTACTCAACTTCTCTACCTCCTCAAAAGTGGGATTAGCCAAAAAAGACTCCATAACACTAACTTTAAAATCACAACAAGCCTAGATTCACTAACTTAACACGGAGCGTTGGGCCGTGTACTTGACCTCTTCAATCTAGGACGTGACACGTCTGACTTTTTTTTTTGACCTAGATACCTCTAGCCTTGCGCGCGTTGTAAGAACACGGCTTCACTGGATAGAAAAACGACTAAATCAAACTAAACTTATTGTTTAACTGATATAACCAACAACTGGAACGACAGATTAAATCCCGGACGAGCCCCCACTTTGTAACGTTTACCTATCTACCAGCCAGATAGATGGTGAACGTCCCCGGATTCTTTTTTCGGGGTTATATGCAAATGACATACAGCCTAAATGAATGAACGCTAACTCAACAACACACTAGGGCTCGATTTCGATGTCTAGGGAAAACTAGTGATACTATTGAAGTTAACAACTCATGCAATCTGCATACAACCTTTAATAAGCGAACACAGTTGTGGCAGAACACTACGTTAAACGAGATAAAATATTTAATTTAGGAAATAACAAAACCCAACTTACAAAGCTTAAGAAAAAAACACTATCACAGATTTCAACACTGTATAAAAATAGCCACAGGTCACACAACACTGCTATAGCTTCAAGAATCACTTGGCGACAAGTAATATAATATTAGAATACTAAAACAACTTAAGAAAGCATGGCACACTCAGGACTTAAGATCTCTCACGTTCAAATGGTCAGAATCTATTGCCGGACAAAATGGACGGCTTGGTCTTAATAGACCGTTTGATCAAGGTAGACTGCTTGATCAAGGTAGACTGCCTCGTGTTGCGTGTGTGCGATCCAGTTAAAGACTTATGCAACAGGGGAGGTTATCCTCAACTCATGTAGCCATTGGTTGGGATGGTCATCTGATCAGAATCAATCAATCAGATCTTGATGGAAAATTTCTGGGTCCTAGACACCCTTAATAAGACAGTGGAAAATCCCCGGTAGTTGCACCATCAATCCATATAAGGTATTATACAATGTCAAAATAAAACATTACTGGACCTAAGTAGGTCACAACGGTGATTAATATTTTTAACGATCCAGAGCTTGTGAATTTCATCTTCTTCTTATATATTGCTCAGCACCAGGTTAAACAGAATTAGAATCAATGTTTAATAGTCACTTTCATTAAAATTATTGGCTGTAACCCAGAATATTGAACTTAGTTTAATACTTGATAAAGTTTTATCTTAGTCGTAAGATTTACTAATGGTGATTGCGCAAAATGTGAATTAAAATGTATAAAAACGAGTCGAGACTGTTGCTAGGAACATTTAAAGGATTGGGTGGACTCGAACACAATAACCAAAGTAATGGAAGTTGTCTTTGATTTTTTGGGCCTATATTTGATATGGCTTGACGTAGACTACAATTTATCAGCTTTTAAGAACTATTGTATACAATAGAAATAACTACAATATAAATACAATATAGAAATAACTATACTTAATTAAATAACAAACCGTTTCTTGAATGAATCAACAAAAATAAATATATAACTGTCAGCATGGTGTATGTTATATTCTTTATTTAGTAAAGCTCAAGGTTCTTAAGAACAATAGACAATGCTTGAAAAAATACAATACAGATAGGCACAGAATAACGTTTTGCATAAAAAAATTACCCTTTAAACAATTTTAAATTCAGCATTAAAATAAATAAAAATCAAAATGGAAAATAAAATTTCTGCTGATGTTTAGATTTGATTAAAATAAAAAAATAAAATGAAATATTTAAATAAATCGATATAGCTAAAACTTGTACAATTTATTATGCAAGTGTTGAGTTATATACAATAACTTGTATTGTTGTAGCTTACGACAGAACCAAAGTGGTGATTGGTCAGCTAGATGATATGCTGACAGTCATCAAGATGACATGCTGACAGTCATCAAGATGACATGCTGACAGTCATCAAGATGACATGCTGACAGTCATCAAGATGACATGCTGGCAGTCATCAAGATGACATGCTGACAGTCATTAAGATGACATGCTGGCAGTCATCAAGATGACATGCTGCGTCATCAAGATGACATGCTGCGTCATCAAGATGACATGCTGCATCATCAAGATGACATGCTGACAGTCATCAAGATGATACACTGACAGTCATCAAGATGACAGTCATCAAGATGACATGCCGGCAGTCATCAAGAAGACATGCCGACAGTAACTATGAAACAAAAGATGTAATGTTATGATAACTTCATATGATCACATCACATGACTGCGAGGAGTAAACATGGACGGGTGTAACATTGGGAGAGGCAATGAAGATGGTGGAAGACAGTGAGGAAATGAATGGAGCTGATAGAAAGAACACTTAAGGCACCCCTCCAAGACTGCTGGACAAATGTATAGATAGATCCCTATGATTTTTGAAGTCCTAGATCGTGGGGGTAAAATCTACATTGTTACAGCCATCAACAAATTAATCAAAGTGGACATTTTAAAAAAAAGCCAAAGTGGAAATGAATTATGTTAACAACCATCTTAAAAGAAGGAATCTGGCTAAATAATTGTGATAATGAAAAACATAATTAAATAATATGGTACATTATAAAGAATACACCTGTAATTAAAAGCAGGAGCAAACAAAGTAAACTGCATTAATTAATTTTAAGAAAGTTATAAAATTTTGAGAAGAAAATTATTTATTATTCAAAGTATAAACAAGCAGTTCTTCCTTGATGCTTAATAAAAAATAAATGTTAATAACAAAAAGTATATTTTTTTACAACAAAGTACCAAAACCCCATTAAACATTATTCACAGAATGTATAACATAACATGGTAGCAACATAAGGCTAAAACCATGTGAAGGTACATGAACACAAAATGTATATACTAAATGCTGTAAGTTACTGTCTGATATACTAGACTAGATCATGCCATATCTAAATCAACAAGTTGATGAAATACTAGTTCTTTTTAATGTGTATACTAAATGCTGTAAGTTACTGTCTGATATACTAGACTAGATTATGCCATATCTAAATCAACAAGTTGATGAAATACTAGTTCTTTTTAATGTGTATACTAAATGCTGTAAGTTACTGTCTGATATACTAGACTAGATCATGCCATATCTAAATCAACAAGTTCATGGAAATACTAGTTCTTTTTAATGCATTTACTAAATACTGTAAGTTACTGTCTGATAAACTTTAGTAAGACAAGATCATACAATACTTAATTCAACTTGTTCATAAAAAATATTTACCAGACTTTCTATCACTTTGGTAAAAATACATCACACATTATTAGTTCATTATAAAATTTGTAAAGAAAATGCTGTAAGTTTTTTTGCAACCAGAATAACTTTACATCACCTAATTTGACTAGTTCATCAACACATTTTTAAGCAGATTTTTAATTACTTTGGTAAAAATACATTACACATCACTAGTGTAGTTTAGATTGGTAAAAAAGAAAATGCTGTAGATTTAAGAGACCAGAATTACTTTGGTCAGACAAGTTCTTTTTAAAATAGATATAAAATACTGTAAGTTACTGAATTGCTTTGGTAAGACTTGGTTGACTAGTTCATTAAACATTTTTTTTTAGTAAACCTTTAATTACTTTGGTAAGAATACATCACACATTAATTTTAAAAATTAAATTTGAAAAGAAAATACCATAAGTTTCATGCCACCTTAATTACTTTGATTAAAAAAGATCACGCATAATATAATTTGACTAGTTCATAACATTTTTTTTAAAAGTCTTTGATTATTTTGGTAAAAACACATCACAAGTCAATAGATTGTTTTAAATTTGCAAAGAAAATACTGTAGGTTATATATGGCTAGAACTACTTTAGTAAGAAAGGATCATAAATCACCTTATTCAAAGAGTTCAATTAAAAAATTAGGAATAGGCAACAATACCCTGATTTTAAAATTTTTAAAATGACTTAAGTAGGACTAGATCATAACCACCATAGCTGACTAGCTGATTTTTCAACTATATTTACATGTGATTTGAAATTATGCCATGTTAATAATACTCTGATATTTTTAAAAGGTGAATTACAATAAGTTAAAAAAAGAGCAATCTCATTTGGAATGTACAAGTTACATCTTATTTCACATATACTCAGAGATGGCAAAATAAAACTGAAAGCAAAGTAACACTGTCATCTTTAAGAAAATATAAGGTTTTACCTATAAAGAGAACCAGTAATTCCATTTTTAAAAAATATAAAAAAATCTCATGAAATGTCAATGCTAGACTTGGTATATGAAACAATAATAGCTTTAAAAACTAATATTTGGTATTTGGAAAACTTTCTTTAAAGGAGCTTAAAAATTCATGGAATGTTGGCATTTGACATTAATGACAATAACATACAAAAAATTACACTCTGAATGTAATAAAAACTTTTTTACACTGCACTTGTAAAACAATTTTATTTAAAATACTCTTTGACTTGAAAATCTGATAAAACAACTAACTGTAAACTTCTTGAAAGACTAAATGGCTGAACACAACAAACTAGAGAGAAAAGCACTTTATATCTTCTCCAAGAACATATCAAATAACAATCTAGACTTCACAACCTTTGTAAGTCATTTCACAAGGAATGTATTTTTGTGTGTACAAATATTTTTAGAAAAGTAAAACTTACAAAAAAAATGTAAATCAACCATTAATAAATGCTGAATAAAAAGAATACTTTTTAAATTAGCATAAAACAAATAGTAAATTCCAGCATCAAGCAACTCAATACGAACATACTGGAAATAATGATTTAGTTAGATAAATGTACATGTCTGTCACTAATGACCATCCATAAATGCAGATTTAGTCACTCTTTATTCCCTCCCACCTTTCAATGATAAAAAAAAAATTAGCACAACATAAACTGCTGTTTGAAGATCACAGTTCTAAAATTTATACTTTAAAAATACAAAAATATTTTTTCCTGAAAAAACTCTCTTCTGCCCATATAAAACTTTTCACAGCAGTCTCAAAGCCACCTCCCCCACATATGAAATCAGTTATGGACAACCCTCAAGGCATATGAAAGATGAGTCCAATTTTACATTTTTGATAACTAGTTCTATATACAAGCAGGCACATCCAATATGAATAGTTAGGTGAATGTGATTAAAGCACTTATCAGGGAAGACAATGTCTAACTTGCACAATTAGAAGTTACTGAATGACAAATTGTGATTACAAATTTCATGAGAACTATTTTTTTGGTTAATAAAGCACATCTCAGATCAACCTGTCTTTAGAGGTTCAGTATTCAGTCAACAATAACTTCAAAATGTATCTGGCCCACCTGCTCTACACGGTCGTGTATAATGTTTCTGGCAAACGCTCTGCAGGTCATCATAAGTAGAAACCCTGGGTGAGGGTTCTCAAACCGTAGAAACATCAGAGGTGACCTGTAGCCCTGTTGGTTGCGGAATGGAAAGTACTTGAAATGGAAGCCTTGCTGTGGGAAGTAGGACAAGTCTCCCATGTTTTCTCTGGTGGCATCATCCTAAAATGGTTAATTTGTCAAATATTTTCTTAAAATTAAAAATTATTAAATTTAATGGAGCATACATTCTAAAAAAATAAATAAAAAGAAGTTCTGTTTATAAAAAAATAAAAGGAAAATATACTTCAATGGGGTTGTTAAAGTGATAAAAAGTTATTTATAAATATTTTGTTGCCTTCAACTTTGAGGAAATAGCAAATGAGATTTTTTTTTTTAGATACTGAATGTACATCATAATGTAGAGCATATAACTGCTAACCCAAAAGTCTTGAGTTTGAATCTGAGTTTAAGTCCATAGATCATCTCTGATGTGGTTTCTCCCACACAATAGCACTATTTTTCTAAAATAGAACTTTTTACTTACTTAACAAGATTATAGAGATGTGACAGATTGTCTGAGAAAATATAATGAACGAGAGAAACAACTTTAATTTAGAATAACTTACATCGCCATCACATCTAACATGGATCCACCATGGGTCATCAGCGTCCCATTTTTCTTTGATCAATGCAGGGACAGTTTCAGGTGTAAACTCCTCAGGAATCCAATCAAACACCTGCACAGATAGGAGTAATTTACAAGAGTTTTACAAATCCACAGAAATGTAACCATATTTTATATTACATATACAATATTTTACAATTAACATAATGCATGGTTTTAAAGAAACTCATTATTTATAATAATTCTCCAACTGACAATGCAATTCTATATGCTCTCTTTTATTGACTGATTCAAGCAAGTATTACTATTTGCAAGAACTTTAACATGAATAATAAATAGATTAAATTACAACAGTTAAAAGATGTTTATTATAGCCTACTCTGTTTAACTTTAGTAGAATACAAGGCTGGCCGTCATCAAATCCATAATTCTGTTGCTTCACACAATCTCCACCTAACACAATAGGGTCAAAGACACACACTTTATCCAACTCTTCTGTCCTGCGTTTTCTGATCTCGCTACAGTCCTTGTAACGGTCACCAACTTGTAGCGCATTCTCATAATCTGTCCGAGAGTAATAAAAAAATATATTGCTGGTATCTGGTAATAAATTCATACACACAACTTCTAGATCTACTTAGTTTTCCTTTAAAGAATTGCATAATCAAGGATACACCTTCAAGAGCAGATTATTTACAGAAATCAACCAACTGATACTGATTTTCAGCAATTGCTTAAGTAATTAAAAAAACAACAACTTACATTGAATGTATGCTTCAATGTGATCCAAATGGTGTGCATATGTAGTAAGGTCTCCTTTTAAAAACCTCACTAGAGTTGATCCTAGACGTGGTTGTGGTCTAAAAGACATCCCGGGAGTCTAAAACAATACATAAAAATTAGAAGTGACATTTTCCAAAACATAATTTTTTAAAAATGTTCAGTATACTAATAAAAATTAGTTAATATCATCCTGTAAAACAAGTTAATGTCTACCTGTAAAATACTGCTAGCGCCTTGCAGTGTTGGATTATTCCAGTCGATCACCCAGTAGAAGATGCCACAAAACACAGATGACATCGCCAGTAGACAAAACAGGAACACAAAGATGCAAACAATGTAAATGACTGAAATAAACAAAAGAGGGATGCATTTTTAACCTAAAGCATGAAATAGAATAGACCTAGATCTATAGGCCTAGATTACGGTAATACCGATTACTATTTAGTAACTATTTACTATAGACTAGTATAGACTATAGAATACTATAGCATAATATCCAAAAAATCCTACCCCAATCAACTGGTGTCCTTCCCATAACAGTTCCATCTTCAGGGTTGTACAGCCAAAGTCTAGTTTGTGTCATACGATCACCAAAGGTTTCTCTCTGGATTCCAGTGCTAGCGATCGTACTTTGATAAAAAGCCGAACTAGCAGTGGAATACGCAGAAACTTGTGAAGCCATTGTATTTTAACAATCCCTAATCCCTTCTTTTGTTAGTCAGTGACCCGCGACTTTACTTCCGTGTTAGGGCATACTAAACACCGAAACACAAAACAGTTTAGAGTTTTAAAAATTATAATAGACATTAGTTTTATTACATAGTGCAGTTATTTGTTATATTTACTCATACATAACTTTAAAATTATTTTAAATTACGATAGGAGACGTCAATGATTTACGCGACGCAATTTCCGACAAAATGTATACATTCCCCCGATCATGACATAATCATCCCTCATTGTCACAAATCGCCACAAAATGTCATGATGTCACACTTTAGTCTTTAGCAATGAGATTCAGCATTTTTTGATGTTTCACTACCTATTACTCTAAATTTTAATCAACTTCGGTTCTAGATTGGGTACATAGATTAATGATTCATTTTGGCTACAAATTACAAAATGTATAGCCTAATAAAAATTGAAATTGATGCTAAGTTTTAGTATTTTCTTTTTATTCAAGAGTGTGACAACAATTTCTTACCAAACGCTCTCATTCGCCACATCAATTCTAAAGAAATCTTTCCCCAAAGTACTGTAAAATGTGTGGAAGTCCTTTAGAAAACATACCTGAAAGCAGTGTTTCTTCCAGGCATCTCTTCGGGGCGAAGATGGCTTACCACCCCCCCCCCCAAATGAAATGGAATGTGTATAGAAAATGTATACATTTAACAGTGTCGCCCCCACCCCCGAAAATTTTAGTCCACGCAACCCCCCTCCCCGAATTTCAAGTGCACCCCCCCCCCCCCCGGAGATAAAAGTTTTGAAGTAACACTGCCTGAAAGAATCCTGCTTCAAACGACCACGTAGTTTGAATTTATGATTATTTCGCCTGCTTCATTACTCATTGCTATTCATTAAAAGTTGCACAAGAATAGCTACAACAGGACAGGAAAAAACGGAACATGCGAATATTATACAACAGTCGTATGCAATTTTACTTCTTATGTCAGGTAACGTTTTAAACATTACAGGGAAATAAGTAGCTACTCGACTCGCTTAAGGAAAATAATTATTTCGGTTATTTCCCTTTCAATGTTACCCAAATATCTAATGTCGTTATCCTGAATTGCGTGACTATTGGAAAAGTGTTTTTTTAAATAGTTTTCCGCTTTCACTACTTTTATGGTTTCCTGCTATATGTTTTCAGCGTTTAGAGCAAATGAAATTCAGTTCATGATTTAGATACCTCGATGTGTAAAGGGATGATGTAGTCCGTTTTATGCAGTGTTTCTTCCAGACTTTTTTCTCCGGGGGGGGGGCACTTGAAATCTTCGGGGGGGGCGGTAAACTTTCTTCGGGGGGGCGGACACTGTTAAAAGTATATATTTTCTATATAAATTATATAAATTTCATTTCGTTCGGGGGGGCGGTAAAAAATTTTCGGGGGGGGGGGGGGGGGCTTCGCCCCCCCGAAGAGATGCCTGGAAGAAACTCTGGTTTTATGGGCGAATACAGTGTGAGTATAGCGTTATTAGTAGTTAGGGGTCATCCATAAATGACGTCACACTCGTAGGGGGAGGGTGGGTCCGTAATTTTGTGACGATGTGTGATGAGGGGAGGGGGGGGGGGTCAGAGGTTGCGACGTGACACTTTTGCATTATAAAAAAAGCAATGTTAGAAAACGAATTTTAGACGTTACATCGCGTTTTAGAAAACTGTTTTAATAAATTGTAATAGTTTAGACAAGATTTTGGAAAAATATCAATGTTTAAAAAAAATTCAACTGCAATTTTGAGGGGGGTTGTAGGTTGAGGTGTGACGTCATTTTAAGGGGGGGGGGGGGGGTCTGGCTTTTTGTGACGACTTGTGACGGAGGGGAGGGGGGGGAGGTAAAAATCGTAAAAAAAGCGTGACGTCATTTATGGATGACCCCTTAGGCAAAGTGACTAGAATTATATAAAGCAAAGACGGAATTCCCTCCCCCTTATTTAAGTTGCCCCCTCATCCGCCCAGAAGAGATGCCTGAAAGAAACCCTGAACGCAAGTCATATTGTTTAAATTTTGCAGGACCCAAAACCCCTTCTGTAACAAATCTCAAAACAATTAAAAAAAAAACAAAAAAAAAAAAAAAAAAAAAAACTAAATTGCCTTTTTGAACCTTACAGTTCCAGGGGGTAGGTAGAGTTCACCTGTTTCACAGACCTCGGCATGTAAAGGGCAGTATCAATCAGGTACCCATCAGAGCTGGGTCGAGATCCGAACTCGGGGACTTCGGGAAACACGGGACACTGTGTTGCGTGTCGTCATTCATGAACGACCTCCCACGTACGAAAAAAACAACAACAACCATCCGTAATCTAATGAAATATTATCCCACCCTTGCATACATATTCAAATCTATTGCACTTCTTTAGCATAGCTTGCTTGCAGGCAGTGGCGTCGCTAGGTCGGGTGTCACCCACTTTTTTTTCTCTCTGTATATTATGCAGATGGTGTCACCCCCCCCCCCCCCCCCCTCACCCGGGTAAAAGCTTTAAAGTGTTCACAATTAATACTAATCTAATGATGTTTATCTATAGTTGGTTGTTAATACAGCTGGGTGTAACATTATTTTCTCTATAGTTTGCATGTTTACGTCATGGTGTCACCCCCTCACTCACTCACTAGTCGGGATCGTCAATACTTTTAAACTCTAATTAACCATAAATTGAACTGGCAAAAACATATTTATTCTAAATATCTTGCAATCTGTGTGTGTCTTGGGGTCCGTCTCCCCCACCCACAGAGTTTCTTCCAGGCATCTCTTCGGGGGGGGGGGGGGAGGGCAAAGCCCCCCCCCCCAGAAAAAATTCTACCGCCCCCCCCCCGAACGAAATGAAATTTATATAATTTATATAGAAAATATATACTTTTAACAGTGTCCGCCACCCCCCCCCCTCGAAGAAAGTCTACCGCCCCCCCCCCCCCCCAAAATATTTCACGTGCTCCCCGGAGAAAAAAGTCTGGAAGAAACACTGCCCCCCCCCCCCCCCCAAGGTGTCACCCGCTGCGGTCCGCGCTTCAGCCCCGGCTTACAGCAATGATAAGACGGTGGTATAAAAGAGTAATGGACAGTACACGAAATAGCAGGTTGGCAGTCCAGGTTGGTGCAAGTAAAGAATCCTCCCCAGACTCAGCGATCCATGTTTCATATGTTTCTTGACCTCGGCATATGAAGGGAAGGTGTGGGCAGCAATTGGCCCAGCCGCCTTTATTTTTCCATAACAAGAGCTAGGTACCCATCAGAGCTGGGTGGACTCAGGGATTCGAACTCGAGACTTTCGGATTAGAGCTCTACCTCAAAGACTACGCCGTCCCATGTTGGTGCTAGTAACGCCCTCTATCATCGATTTTGCCATTGATTTCAACGTCTCATTTCTTGACTTCAAGTTGGTGTTATAATGAAAAGCCTATACATGTAAGTGATTAGGAGCCAGGGGACGTTTATTATTGGTGCTAGCTATAAAGCTGTCGTGGCGTACCTAATTACACTGTGATGAACGTGTCAGATCTTTCAGCTGTTGTGGTTTACGATGTTTGTGCGTGTGTGTGTGCGTGTGTGTGTGTGTGTGTGTGTGGATCGACTATAGGGCTTTGACGTGTTTCTGTATGTGTGTGTATGTGTGTGTGTGTGTGGATCGACTATAAGGGCTTTGACGTGTTTCTGTATGTGTGTGTATGTGTGTGTGTGTGTGGATCGACTGTAAGGGCTTTGACGTGTTTATTACAGATAGTTCCTATTATTTTTTGGTCGGTGAATTGTGTATCTTCACAAGACAACACATTTCAATATGATGACTTATTATTCTGTTGATGTAGCTAGTGTGATGAAATACACTAAAAATAAAATAAACCGGGAGTGATCTCCCCTAAACTTTCTCAAATATTCTAATATGACACTACGGGAGATGGCACATCACGATGGACATGATTTTTAATCCATTTTTAATTAATTAAACTTTTAAAAATAGAATAGCATCTTGTAGAAGAAAGAATTCCACACCAAGTGAACGCCAAATAAAATGTTTTTTTTTTTTTTGAGAAATCGGAAATAGCCTAAATTACTACTTTCGGACGACGGAAGTCATCCAAAATTTGACTGAAGGTAGAGAAATAGATCTTTTACTTATATTTGAAATTTCATTTATCTAGCTGTTACGGTACTCAAGTTATAGTGTTTACAGACACAGACACACACACAGACATACGGACAAGATTGCAAAACTGTTTTTCCGACTCAGGAGGGTGTAAAACGTCGAGATTTGCAAAAATCTCGATTTATTTTGCACGATTACAATAATTTCTCTATACTTTGTATACGAGAAAGTAATAAAGTAAGTTGGAATGTAAGTATGAAAAATAAACTTTGCCCTTTCAGACCTAAAGACCGATAAGACAGCGGAGACAGAGTTCATGTGCTTCTTGACCTCGGTATATGAGTTGATGGTGTGCATAGAGCACCATGCCCAACCACCAGGCTAAGTATGTTGCCATTAGAAAAATAAGTTCTTACAAGCTTTTATCTAGTTCGCAGAGTCTGTTTGTGGGTTTGTAGCAAATCTTGTAACTCAATTTTGAACCACTTCTAAAGCAGCGATTTCGTTCAAACTTTCCACTTTTATGAAAATACAAGCCTATATTAGCGACAAAAGCTTTTGTAAAAGAAAAGAAATAAGTTTACTTTCTTATTTTTTAAAACCTTGTTGCTATAAATGTATTTTTATATTTGTTTTATTTAATATATTATATTTAATATCTGATCATACAAGGATTAAATCATGGATATAATTATATCTTTCGCATCAGGGTGACATTGTTGGGTCACAATTAAAGAACGTTTGTTTTTACATCCGAGATATCAACCGGACGTAACCGACCGTGACAAGTGTGCAGTCAGGCGTGTCGAGACGTCCGTGACGGGCGGTAAACATGCAGCATGTGTTACACTAATCCCGCCCAACTGCCGCGAGACAGGTGTGACTCTCATCAAATAGGTAAAAAAACATTTATCTTAACATGCTATACCTCATACTGGCA